AAAAAAAAAAAAAGTGGATTGAGGAAACATATTCTAAGTTCTCTCTAATTTTATCTTTCTTTTATATTTTTAATTCTAGAATAGAGTTTTGATATAACGTGAAATACTCAAAATTCCAAGAGGCACCACATTGAAACTCGGTCCCACGTTGTCAGTGTTATCCGGAATATTGTTCTTCCATTTTTTATTTTTAGAAATTATAAAATTAATTTAAACTTTGACTTCAATTTATTAAACATTTTTCTGTTATAAAATCTCTTTTTATATAAAAACCCATTTAATAAATTCTGAAATTAATAAAATATATGAATAAAAAAAAGGAGGGTAACGGAAGGAATGGGGAAAGAAGACGTCATGTAATTGTAAGGCCCACAACCCATGAGTTATATGGTAAGTTGGTAACTGGTAAGGCATGTAGGTTCCCATTTCCAATCATCCCACATGCTTTCACTTAATACTCTCTCTTTCTCTACTCTTTTTCAAAATCAAAATGAAGAGTTTAATGAGATTTGTTTAATAATGGTTTAGCGATATAGAAAGTTTTAAGGAAAGTTTTATGTAAAAAGTCAAGTTTTGTTTTCCAAACTTGTCCCTCCTAATTAAAATTACATTCCTTCCGGCTATGAAAACCACATATAGATCAATCTGCACAGATAATTTTATCCATACATAATTTAATGATAACCAATCAAATAGCCCTTAAATCTCGTACAGATATGGGAATCACCCCACCATTCTGTAGGTGACATAACATATCTCTCGTTTGCGATCTCGCTGGTTGGACTCAAAGTCATCCTTGTCTTTCTCACTTGTTCCCGTCTCGATTGGTCGAAGAATTTTCACGACTTGTCCACGCCTTAACCCGTAATATCTAGCAATTGGATCCGTATTCAATATTCGAGGAAGCTGCAAAAAAATCCACCACCACATTGTATATGAAGAACACCAATTCGGACTTGTACGGCCAACAAATCAAATCATCACTTCTTCCACGAGTTCAAGATAAAATAGATTTTGAAAAATATGTTGGAAATGCTCTTATTAACCCATTCTAAATCTAAAAGCATCTCCAACAGATTTCTCAAAACAGAGAAAAATATATATTTTGGACATGTTTTTTACTCCAACAGATTCTCCAAAATGGAGAATGTAGGAAAGTGTAAAAATCTCCAAACTTGGAGAATACCCCAAAAATAATTACAACGAGAGAGATATATTATGGGATACTAGAAGCGTACTCGCGCAATGCAGCGAGATACATCGTGTTTTTAATATTTCATTTTATTCTTTATCTCAGTCGATGTTATAATATGGCTTTATGTGATTTTGAGAAAGCGATGATGTTTTTATTTTTGAATAAAATA